AACATAAAATGTGTGGTCACATTTGCAAGAGTTCAGCAGATTTGAGTCAGGCTCAATGGCCTGTCCCTATAGTTCCACTACACAGGAGGCTGGGCAAGGAGGATCCCGTGAGTCCAGGGCTAGGGGTCAGCCTAGTAAGAGCATGTCTCTCCCCTCCCTTGCTCCTTACTGGAATCGAATAGAGGGCCTTCTGCGTGTGCAACATGTCAGCACTTTAGTTTTTATTTTGAGACAGGGTCTTGCTAAATTGCTAAATTGCCTAAACTGGTCTGGATTCTCCTGCCTCAGCCTCCCAGAGTGCAGGGATTACAGGCAAGTGCCACTATCTGACTACAGGTTCTGTCTCTTAAAGCTTGCAGATTTCCTATAAAATTAAATCTACGATTACACCACCACCTAGCCACACTACTCCCAAGTAATAAAAGTACAAAAACCTGGATGGGGGTGTTTACAATGTCCTTATTCATAATCACTGCAGCCTGAAAACAGTGGAAAGGACTTTCCACTGGTGACAAGCAAAACAAACTATGGAACACGGCTGAAATGAAATGCTGCTTCACCTCTGGGCACAGCGGTACATGCCTACAATGTCAGCACTTGGGAGGCTGAAGCAAGAGAATCTCGAGTTCAAGGCCAGTCTAGGAAACTTAGCAAGACTTTGTCCCAAAATTTAAAAAGGAAAATATAAAAAATAAAAAGGGCTGAGGGTGTAGCTTAGTGTAAAGACCCTAGGTTCAACTCACATTACCATCATGACCCCAAAAAAAAAAAAAAAAGAAAAGGAAAAAAATGAAAGGAGGAGGAGGAGGGAAAGGTGAAGAAAGAGAAGAAGAAGAAGAAGAAGAAGAAGAAGAAGAAGAAGAAGAAGAAGAAGAAGTGCAGCAGCAGAGGAGGAGGTGGAGACAGAATACTGTACAACAATAAAAATGAACCTCAGGGGTATACAACATGGAAATACACACAGGGATCCATTATCCTAAGTGAAAGAAGCCAGACTCAAGGCTACTTATTGAATGATTGCATTTATTTATTGATGCATTTTGAGACAGAGTCTCTCTACATAATGCAGGCTCAACTCAGACTCAAGATCTTCCTGCCTCAGCTTCCCCAGCATTGTGATTATAGGCATGTGGCCCTATACTTGTGTCTGTTACTTTTCTCTCATTGCTAAGACAAAATACCCAACACCTAAGATTAAAGAGGAAAGGTTTGTTTGGCTCACAGTTTGTAGAGGTTTCAGTCCATAGTCAGTTGGCTCTAAAATACCAAAAGCAACAAAAGCAAGAGAGCCACGAGACTGTTTTGGTCCCTTGCGTGGTATGCATACTACCCGTCCTTGAGCAGGTGTACACTCACAGCCTCAGCATTGGACCATGAATCAATCACACTCTAGATTCAGCCACTTATGAAAAATCTGCTCTCTGCATGACTGTATGAGGCTTTGGGGGCACGTCCAGACACAAACCACAACAATGTGGCTTACTGATTTATTTACTGAGACACAGTTTTGCCGTTACCGCTCCTGAGCTTACGGCATCCTCCTGGATCACAGCCCCAGAGGCTCCTTTCTGGGCTTCTGCAGAGCTTCCACGGTGACGAGTTCAAAACAGACCCAGGAGGGAGGAAAAGAGAACAAAACCATACACAAGGCAGACAACAAAGATAACGTCTGATAAATCCAAGATTCTGGGAGAGATAAGAGATGATATTGTATCCATGAAACCAGAGCAGATAACACTTCCTCAGACTAGCAAGGAAGGAGAGATGAAGAGAGATACGGAAACAAGGAAAACTTCTAAGAAAGTTTTGGTTCATTTTGTTTTGCTTTATGTTGAGACAGGGTCTTGCTCTATAACTCAGGCTGGCCTCCAGCTCACCCAGGCTGGCCTTGAACAGACTACCTGTGCATCTGTGGGTTTTTCACTCCAGGATTCAACCAATCTTGGACTGAAAAAATTTTGAAAATACCCTGCGTATGTAGTGAACACCACAGACATTTTGGGGAGGGGAATTATTCCCCAAACTACTATTTACACCCATTTACATTGTATTAGGTATTATGAGTCACCTGAGAGTCACTGACTCTCAGGAAGATGTGTGTAAGTTCTAGGCAAATACTCTGTCATTTTATATACAGGACTTGGGCTTCTTTTTGTTTGTTTTGTTTTATTTTTTGGTACCAGAAATGGAATGCAGGACTTTGTGCTTGCCTTATTTGTGCATAGCCACTGCGCTATGTCCCAGGGCAAGGACTTGGGCTTCTGTGACTCAGTGTCTGGGGGGCTAGGGGTGGCCTGGAATAGAACCCTTCCAAAGATGTCATGGACTGACTAGAATGGAAATGGAGAGAGTTCGTGCCCAAGCACAAAAAAAAGGAAAAGGAAAGAAAGAGTTGGGAAACAAATTCAACGTTTAACAGAAGTTCCAGAAAGACAGTAGAAAAAACAAAAAGAAGGCCCCAGATGGAGCTCAGCCCAGCGCTAGTGCCTACCACGAAAGAGCCTAGCGTTCAAATCTTTAGCAGAAGGGAGGGAATTAGGGCGTGGCAAAGAGCCGGGCAATAGGGCGTGACCTGTCAATCACAGAGAGCTAGCAAATCACAACGGAGATGCATATGCAGAACAGCTTCCCAGCGCAGGCCCAGATTTGACCTCAAAAGAAGAAAGATGCCATTGACTTCGTCACCACTGCCTTCTTATTCTTGCAGTGGTCAGTCCTGCTTGCAGGGTGTTTCTTTGGAGCACATCCTCTTCAGCACTTGGTTTCCTTCTTTCTTATTAACTTTAAATAGACTTTGCATTTCCATCTTCATCAGTTGTCCCATTCAGTTCTTTGCACGGGACAGCAAGAGACTGGAAAGGACCGTTGGCCTCTATACTGTCCCAGAGCCAAAGGAAGGAGGGAAGGAAGAAACATGGTGATTGGCTCAGGAGGCTGAGGTAGGAGGGTCTCCATGAGTTCCAGGCCAGTTTGGGCTCCGCAGTGAGACCCTATCCCACCCTCCCCACAAAAAAGTAAAATCTAATGAGTCCGACGATGTCCAAAATAGATGATGGTAGACGATAACTATTTTCAGAAAGTTACAGATCAGTAGTAGAAGTAATAAAACTATTTCAAGTGGTGATCACGAGGAAAGTAATGGCTGGTAAGGGGCAGGAGTGTGTTGGGGAGAGGCAGAAAGAAGAATACTTTTTTTTATGGTACTGAAGATTGAATCAGGGCCTCTGTACTGAGCTACATCTCCAGCCCTCTAAAACTCACTCTCTCTTTTTCTTTTCTTTCTTTTTTTTTTTTTTTTGTCTTTTTGAGACGTGGTCTCTCTATGCAGTTCAGGCTGGCCTTGAGCTCATTTTGTAGCCTAGGCTGACCTCGAACTCGCAACGATCCTCCTGCCTCAGCCTCCCGAGTGCTGGGATTACAGGTGTGTGCCACCATGCCCGGCTTTTGTTTCTATCTTTTTAAATTCTGAGACAGGGTCTTGCTAATTGCCCAGCTAGGCTCAAACTTTCAGTCCTGCCTTGGTCCCCCTGGAGCACTGGGAGCCTCCCAGAGTGCTGGGATGACAGGCAGGCAGCACCAGCTCAGTTGACCCTGTTCCCTATCAGCCTCCTCACACAACATACATCTCGTTACTATCTTGTTTCCTCCTTAGAGAGTGATTTTCACTGTACTACTAGAGTAAAGGTAACTATAGGTTAATTTAGTGACTACACATGCTTTGTCCCTGGCCACCTGGAATTTGCCTCTTATCATCTGGGAGCATTCCTTTTTTTTTTTTTTTTCCATCTGGGAATATTCCTAATTGGGGTCTGTACTTTTTAGGAGGTGAGGGGAGGCACTGAGACAGGGCCCTGTTATGCAGATCAGGCTAGTCTTGAACTTTAGTGGCCCAGGCTGGCCTAGAATTCAGGGTGATCTTCCTGTTTCAGCCTCCCCCAGAGCTGGGATTACAGGCATGTGTCACCACCTCAGCAGTTTGATATTAATGATCTTTTTTGGTTCCATTTTCTGGGTATCTCTGCTGACTACACTGTCTTCTCACACTCCTGTGTGTTCTCTTAGTTTTATATCCTTGAAGACTGGTTCTTTTTCTAAACTCTCGATTCCTGCTATGATTGCTAATTCTGAAAAATTGTGGGTCAGCCTAGCTATCTCAACACCTGGCCCATATTTACAACATTAAATATGCAGTATTGCATTATACTGGGTGGGGGGCTAGGCTGTATTTAAGGAATTCACTGGAGCTGACATTACATTGCTTTCGCTGTTCATTAGGGTTAAAATCCCCATCCCCTTGCTGGGGATTGAACCCACGGCCTTGAGCACGTGCTATATTACAGGAATTGTCCCTTTTTTGACAGAGAAGAAAACTGGCTCAGAATGTTCCCTTTGGAATTATCAGGGGCTGCTGTGCTGGCCGGGTTGCAGGACAACAGCCACAGCTTTTGGACTGCACACAGGCGGCGGAGTCCAGAGCAGACGGCTGGGCTCCCGCGGACTCTGCACTGGCAGGAGAGGGTCTGCTTCGCACGCTAGAAAAATCCCTTAGATATTCCATGACCCAGTCTTTGCATTGATAAAAAGTAATGCGGACAGCAGCCACGACCCCCCACACAATCAGAAAGGTGCTTTGAGCGCTCAGTTCCGGGCCTCGCAGAAGAAAGCCGCCCACGAGGGAGGAGCCCCACCCCCACCCACCACGTGGAGGGCCCTCCCCGCACCGCCCGCAGCCAGGCCAAGCGCCAGTCCCTAGGGCGGACCCGGCGGCGGGGACAGCCGTCGCCGTCCCTGGACCCAGTCACCCACGAGGGCCGCCGGCTGCAGCCAGCGTCCCGCAGCTCCCGGGTCAGCCGAGAGCAGAGGGGGCGGTGGCGAGGGGCGGGGCTGGGAGGCGTGGCCTCCCGATTTTTTTTTTTTGTCCTCCTAAATAAGTAGCAGTTTTCCTGTACCTTTAAGAGGCGAGTAAGGGCATACAATTGGCTGGCGCTCGCGTGACGTCACACCGGGGCCGGCGCCCTCCCCTGCAGCGCTGCCGCGCGCCCGCGGATAGTCCGCGCGCGGGCCCTGGAGCCCCTCAGCCTCTCAGCGTCCGTCGTCTCGGGCCCCGGGGGATGCCCCGGTTAGGTCCCCCTCATGGCCGCCGACGTTTTCATGTGCTCCCCTCGCCGGCCCCGCAGCCGGGTCCGCTCGGTGCTGCTCAAGTCGCCGGTGCCAGAGGACGACGACGACTCGGACACGGATGAGCCGTCCCCGCCGCCTGCCTCCGGCTCGGCCTCCGTGGCCCGGGCTCACGCGAGCGCCGCGCCGCTACCGCCCCGGAGCGGCTCGGGCCGGGAGGAGCCTCCGCGCCGCCAGCAGATCATCCATAGCGGCCACTTCATGGTGTCGTCGCCTCACCGCGAGCACCCGCCCAAGAAGGGCTACGATTTCGACACGGTCAACAAACAGACATGCCAGACCTACAGCTTTGGCAAGACCAGCTCCTGCCACCTGTCCATCGACGCCTCGCTCACCAAGCTGTTCGAGTGCATGACCCTGGCCTACAGGTAGGAGCCAGCCGGACCCGCGTTCCTGCAGGGGCCTCCTTTTCACACAACGGAGGGCTGGGCCGCTGGGCCCCCGGGGCTTCGCGTGTTCCGTGGAGAGGAGGTGTGTGTCAGGGTCCCCAGGTGCCAGAGACGCCGCGGTCCTGGCCTTTCTGTTGGGAACTGTGTTCTGCTTCTTCCGCCTTCTTACTGCTCATCCAGGCCCTGCCTCCTGGGGTCAGGGGCCACAGATCTAGGGCGAGAACGAGGTGTGGACACAGATGCACCTTGCGTTACTTGGCACTGTCTGCCCTGCCCTGTTCCTCCAAGTGTGGATAAGACCACCTGTCCAGGCCGTCTGTGGCCCAGGTTCCAGTGTTTAATGATTGTGTAATACCTTGGAGCCTGCTTCCTCCTTCAGAGAGAATGACAGTAGTCTCTGCCTCCAGGGGGCTCTTGTGCGGATGGACTGAGGTAGGTAGAGTGCTTGTTCCTGTGCCTAGCACAGAGTTAGGTGCTCTGTACATTTTAGCTACTTCTTTTCTTTCTTTCTTTCTTTTTTTTTTTTGCGTTACTGGGAGTTAAACCCAGGACCTTCCTGTTGAACTGCCCCCCCCCTTTTAATTTGTATGTTTAATTTGGAGACTAGATCTTGCTAAATTGCTAGGTTTCCCCTGGCAGAACTGAAACTTGCAACTTTCTTGCTTTAGCCTCCCAGGGTGCAGGCATTAAAATGTTAGTTACTTTTCACGTTGTACCTGTGCCAAGAGACTGGGTCCCCTATAGCCCATTTATTGGAAGGCTCTGGGGGAGGGCCATGAGGCTGTTGGATGGATTTCTGGCTGCCCTGAAACATATAAGGGAGATGGCAGTGTCCAAGACAGATATCCCAGATACCAACTTAGGTTGAGCTCTGAGTTGAGAGTCCTTTATTCCCCCCCCCCCCGTTATCATTTTTAATTTTTTGAGACAGAGTCTTACTGGAGTGTCCAGGCTGGCCTTGAACTCAGTATGTAGCCCAGGTTTGTCTTAAATTCCTGATGCTTCTCCTGCCTCAGCCTCCTGGATGTTGGGATTACAGGCACCCAGCACCACACTGTGCTCTAGGTAATAGAAATCCCTGTCCCTTGAGGTTAAAACCTCTGTCCACTCTCTACCTTCCCCAGGATATATTAGGTATTTACTTTGGGTGACTTTTGCCTCAGTTGAAAAATTCTCTAGACTGACTGCAGACCTGAGCAGTCCAGCCCCACACAGAGCGGGTGCTGAGATCTCTGCAGAGTTAGTTATCCTCAGGCCCTAGCTGCTAAGCTCTGCTTTTCAGGCAGCCCAGGAAGTGTCCTGGGAGACTCCAGCAGCAGCGTAAAGAACAGTAGGAATATTCCCCTGGCCCCTTTTCTGGAGAGTAGTGAACGGCTCAGATAAATCCAAGTTAAAACATCATGCCTGTATGGATTTAACACACTAGCTACTTGGCCCTGGATGGCATTTCTCCCCATGGAATAAGTGATCAGTCAGCTTGTTCCTTTGTTATGTTCCTGAGATGCGTCCCTCACCCTTTCGCCTTGTGGGGTCTGTCTTCATGCCGGTGCTGGAGCTTTTCTCCTGCACTCTGACGTGGCACCTCTGGTAGTCTCCGCCTTGGCTCTCAAGTCCTGCTGGTCCGAGCTGGCATCAAGCCGGTGAAGATGTTCTGCTTTTAAAAAGACAAATGGCACTGAGGTTGCAGCCTGGGCGCCCTTCAGTCTCAGATTTGGAGCACTTTCATTGGCATCAGACTCCACTGGGTTTTAGCATAAACTGTGCTTTCAGAAAGCCTTTTCAAACAGAACTAGAGATGAAAGACAGGAATGTGTTTTATTAAGAGAACTTAATCCTCTCCTTTAATATAAACTTCTGCATGTCGAGGGGAGAATGAATGCTGAAGTCACAGTAGATGCAGGCTAGAAAGCTCTCACCTAAGTAAGCTCTGCAAAAGGAAAAATAAGCCGGGCTCCCCTTTGCCCTTCGTTTGGGTAACCTAAAGGCCTATTGAGTCCACCGGGAATTTTCATAATGACTTTTTTATTTCCATTTCTTTCAAAAATGTTTTGGCAACTGGCCATTGCTCAGTCAACTTCTTGATTGCAAAATGCACTGCTAGTTTGGTGTGTGCTTACCTGACTGTCAGCTTCCCAGCCCTGGTGGCTATGTGCTTGTGTCACTGCCCTCCTCCCCAGGGTCTGCTGCCACCTATGGCTACCACTTAAGGTCCTAATGGGCCCTGTCTAGTGAGGTCTCCCTGAGATGCTGTCTGTTTCTGGGTAAGGCTGAGTTGGCCCTATCTAAGTTTACCCGGCAGGGTGGAATTTGGTGCAGATTGACAGAAAAGCTGGACAGAAGAGGTGGTAGAGCTCATGACCACCCCACTGGCTTCCAGAGAAGTAGGCTAGGTGCAGTGAGGAGAGAGCAGGTCTGAGCAGGGCTGACCTCTTGGTCAGCTGAGCCCGAGCCCTGGCCACCGCCCTGCACAGGGCTTCTGCTCAGGCTGAGAGGAAGGCCAGCTGGTCTCCTCCTCTGTGTGACTGTTCCTGGCCTCGGTCCTTTCTAACTACAGCTTCCTGTCTGTCCCCTGGCCTCTTGGTTCTGGCTGCTTAACCTCCCTGGTACACTCTGTGCTGTTTTTTTTTTTTTTTTTTTTTTTGGTTTGGTTTGGTTTCCTGTTAACTGCTGCCTCCCAGCTGTTTCCAGATGAGGTTCAACAGCTCCCAGCTGTTTCCAGATGAGGTTCAACAGCTCTTCGGGGAGGAACCAAGTGCAGGGGAAGTTGTGCTTATTTTTCACCCAGTCTGGAGAACTGGAATCGGGATCGTGAACATGGGCTGTTCCGGAACATGTGAAGGCTTTCATTCCTGACGCCTGGCCGGGGCTGACGCACTGGGGGCACGGGTATCTGCAGACTGGGAGGTTCCCACGCAGGTGGGATTCCATGTGCTGGCAGAATGTCCCATGGCAGTGCACTTGAGGTTAGCTACCCGGAGGGGAGGAGGTCGTCTTTCCCAAGGCGAATCCAGGCAGTGGGTGGTAGGGAAAGCAGCCTGCGGCTCACCTCCCCTGACCTCCTGTCTGCCACTCCCCAGTGGGTGGCCCAGACTCCCCGAGGGTGGAGGCAAGGATTAACTGCTCTCCTGTCTGTGGATGTGGCTAGGACCTAGCACAGTTCCGTCAAGGCGGGGTCTCTCCAGCCAGAAGGTCTCGGGAGGATTGTGGAATTTCAGTCCTGCATCCTTGTTTAGCTGATGGAGAGTAGGATCCGGGGTTTCCCATCTGTAACCTGAACATTAGGCCCACCCCACCCTGTGGAGTCTTTTCTTTGAGTGCAGCCTTCAGCTGCCTGCCTAACCCATGCTAAACGGGAGTCAACTAGCTAGCTGGTCCTGAGCCTAGCAGAGGAGCTGTACCCTGTGGAGTGACTTGTGGTTCCCGCCCCCTTAGTGTTTGAAGGAATATCACACATGGGCACCTCCTCTAGACTTGAAGCACATCTTGTGTGGGACTCTTTGCCACTGGGCTTGGTTTACTTCTCTACTTTTATTAATGAGTCCCTTGTCCCAGAAGCTTAGTATGAGTGCTTCAGAGGGGTGGAAGAGGAGGGCTTTATCTGTAGAGGTAAGAAAGTGACTTTCTGGGTGAGTGGATGTTTGGGGTTCAGTGGGGAGCTGCAGGGTAGCTTTGGAGTATTAGTTTCCAGGGTGTGGCCTCTGAGTGTGCACCCTGTATGGTAACCTTGCGACTCGAGGTTGGAGGCTGTGTCAAACACAAGGGGTAGGGAAGCCAAGGGCTTAGAGCACTGTGCCCTCCAAATCCCAAGTTTTCTAGGGAGGAGCCTTCTGATGATAGGCGTGGTAATCAGGGTAAAGGGAAGTCATTCACGCAAGGAACTAATTTAACTCTGAGATGAGCCATTTTTCTACCCTTTTTCTTTTCTTTCTTTCTTTCTTATTTATTTATTTATTTATTTATTTTTGTCTTTTTGAGACAGGGTCTCACTATGCAGTTCAGGCTGGCCTTGAACTCACTTTGTAGTCCAGGCTGGTCTCAAACCCGCAACAATCCTCCTGCCTCAGCCTCCTAAGTGCTAGGGTTATAGGCATGCACACTATGCCCGGCCACTTGTACTAGTCTTTAATGATTAGCTAGCATGCCTGTTGGGTGAGCATTAGTAGTTTGAGCCTAGCCTGGACAATTTAGCAAGATCCTGTCTCAAAAAATAAATCCTGTAGAGGTAGCTTAGTGCAAAGGCCCTCAGTTCGATCAACAGTAGCAATATTTGTCTTCTCCCATTTGGTTCTCCAGGAACAAACTTTCATTTTACATCCAAGCTGACTGGTTAGCTGCCTGCCACATGAAAGGACAGGGGAGTGTGGGTAGACCTGGGAAGAGTCTGGGTGAGGAGGACGGGGACAGGCTGGAAGGGTTATTTGGCAGGGTGAAAGGAGACTCCCACTAACTGAGCAGTAGTGCTGAACCCATGGCACGTATGTGACTGTTTTTAAGGCAAGATGTTAATGTAGAGTTGTTTTCTCAGTGTTCAGGTCTCATTGTGTCGTTGGTACTTTGAGGTAAAGAAGTGGATCTGGGTTGGCAGTTTGGCACTCGGTCTCTAGAAGGTTCACGTCACTACTCCAGATTCTTTCCATGACTTTAAGCAGCTCCCACAACAACAGCCAGGGCACAGGTGGTGGAACCCTTGGTTTTCAGATTAAGCAGCGAATTACCTTCTGAGCAAACATGAGCTCAGAAGGTAATTTGCTGTGTCCCTGAGGTTAGGCCTCCTGTCCGAGGGGAAGTCTCGTGCTGACCAGCTGTACGGCCAGCTGCCGGTCCTCTCTCAGGAGCCCACCTTGTGTGTGGAAGTGGGCTGCCAGGACCTCCATGCTGGGGGAAGAGGAGGGCCCGCGGCAGCTGCGACTCCCCTTGCCCTCCTCGGGTGACATCCTGCCTCCCTCAAGGCCTGGCTCAAGCCCCTGTGCTCTCACCTT